CAAACTCAAGACCCTGAGATCAAGTGTCACATGCTCCACTGACTAAGCCAGCCAGGTGTCCCTACAATCAACATTTAAAATTTACATTTTACTTGTATCACATATGTATCCCTGTGTCTATCCTTCAGTCCATCTTACTTTTTGACGTGTTTCAAAGTAAGTTGTGGACATCAATTACACTTGACCCCATTTACTCCAGTGTGCATGTTGTTAATATTTGTTTGCAGCTCTGGGGTACCCACCTGGCTGGTTCAGTTGGTTAAGCATCTGACTCTTGATTTCAGCTCAGGTAATGATCTCACAGCTCGTGAATTTGAGCCCCACATTGGGCTCTGCACTGATAGCGCAGATCCTGCTTGGGATTCTTCCTCTTTCTCTGCCATTCCCCCACTTGTGCTCTCTCTCTCTCAAAAATATATACATATTTGTTTGCAGTTTTATTTTAGTTTCGTTTTCACATGAAACTTACATATGCACAAATTTTAAATGTACCATTCAATCATAATCTCACAGGTGCATACACATAGTAGCTTTTTGGAGTCATCTCACCATCTTCAACAAAGCATACATATGAGGCAGGTGTTACAAAAGCCACCTTAAGAGACCTGGGGCCAGCTGGAGGGATTTCTGCAACAGTAGGCCTCTGGCCTCCATTAGAAGAAGAAAGGAAAGGCATTGTAGGTTGACCGTTCATTGGTTGTGAGTGAAGGACTTCACCTTCTTTCAGTGCATGTGGTTGACCAAAAAGTGATTCTGAATCAGAGAACCTCTCTGTGGAGGGCTGTATGCCTGGGTCTTCATTGTTTTGGATTTATACTGTATTCCTGGAAGCTCACTCAGGTTGGCAGCTTCCACCTTGTATGCAGTTCAAAACTCCAAGCTCTTTTTGCAGTTTGAACAGTGACAAAATGGTCTTGGACTTACTTGTTAGGAATAGTGATAAGTTTTTTAGAGGCTCTCTTTTCTCCAATTTTTCATCCAGGTCATGAATTTGTTGCTTGTGTGTTTTCACTTCCTCAAATAGCTTCTTCTTTTTCTGAATTAGTTTATTGTATTAGGATCAGTGAGATGATGGTGCATGGTGGGCACACTTGTGACCAGTCATGTTGATGGAAGCACTGCACCTGAGGAGAGTGGCTATTCGTTGTTGCCACTTAGAGTTAACCTCGCAGTTAAAACGAATTTCAGAATAATTTAGGGAAACCTGGAAGGGTCTTTTCACTCTTCAGGGTGAAAACAAAGTAGTTGAGCTTGGGAGTTGCCTGGTTTGGACAAAGGAGTCAGGACTCACAGTCAGGTCTGGGTTTGTACCTGCTCTACTACTTGGGACTGGGTGACCTTTTGGACAGTATCATCTTTATCAGCATCTTCATAATGAACGCCATGAAGGGCATTCTGTGGAGTGAACCTAGGCACACAAAGTACAGGACAGTTAGAAGAACTTCTAAGACTGACTTGGTCCTTGTCAAAGGGGGATTTCTTTCATGTGACTTGAGAAAAGCATCATTTAGAGCTGGTGTACTTCCTGGGAGTCATTCATTTTCTTTCTCTCTCTTAAACTTTTTTTTTTTAAGTTTATTTATTTATTTTGAGAGAGAGTGAACAGGGAGGATCAGAGAGAGAGAGGGAGGGAGAATCCCAAGTAGGCTCTGCGCTGTTAGTGCAGTCTGTTGTGGGGCTCTATCTAATAAACAGTGAGATTACGATCTGAGCCAAAATCAAGAGTCAGACCCTTAACCGACTGAGCCACCCACAGTCCAATAATGTAATTAAAATTTTTCAACTTTTTAAAGTTTATTTAAAAAAAAATTTTTTTTTTATTTAAAAATTTCTTTTAATGTTGATTCTGTCTTCAGAGACAGAGAGACAGAACATGAGGGGCAAAGAGGGAGAGGGAGACACAGAGTCTGAATCAGGCTCCAGGCTCTGAGCTGTCAACACAGAGCCTGACAGGGGCTTGAATTCATGAACTGAGATCATGACCTGAGCCCAAGTGCCCAAGTTGGATGCCTAACCAACTGAGCCACCCAGGTGCCCCCTTACTGTCTTAAGTCAAATCTTTTTGCCATAGCCCTGGTGCTTGATAATTCCTCCCCCCCACCCTCCCCCGCCCACTTTATTTTGCTGTGATAAACACTGTGATGAGCATTTTTACAGTTGAGTCTGTTCCAATCTATGCTTTTTTTTGGTGGACTTAGGGGATGTAAAGACAGACATTTAATGCTAGATTGTGCCCTAGATGTGTACCCATTTGTATTCCTACAAAACAGGTATATCTTTTCTGTTCCTGTGTTGAGTATACTGTCAGTAGAACTTTCTCCTTGGTTTTTTCCTTCTCCCCCAAATGCCCCCTGCTCCTACCCCACACACACATACATGTATCAGGTCTGGAAATGAGGTCAGATCTTTGTGGAGGATGGACTGGTCCATAGTGGTGTCACATCTTGACTGCGGTCAGGGCTAGAACACTGCTTGGTTCCTCCCTGTGCCAGGTCAAAAGTGGGTTTGAATTAAAGCCTTTTTTTCTTTTCTTTTTAAATTTTATGTTAGTTTCAGGTGTACAACATAGTGATCCAGTTCTGTCTGTGTGCTATACAGCACAATAAGTGTATTCATCATCTCTCATTGTACAGTGTTATTACAATGTTACTGACTGTATTCTTTGAGCTGTAGTTTTTATTCCTCTCCATGACTTACTTATTTTATAACTGGAAGTTAGTACTTCTGAATCCTCTTCACCTTTTCACCCATTACCATTGCCTGCCCAGCCCAGCAACCACCACTTTGTTCTCTACTTAAGAGTCTGTTTCTGGGTTTTGTTTTGTTTTGTTTTTTAGATTGCACATATAAGTGAAATCACATGGATCTTACGGTATTTGCCTTTCTCCGTCTAACTTCACTTAACATAATACTCTCTAGGTCCATTTGTGTTATTGGAAATGACACCTCATTCTTTTTTTTGTAGTTGAGTAATATTCCACTGTGTGTGTGAGAGTGTGTGTGTGTGTGTGTGGATGTATGTGTACATACATATACATGACATCTTTATCTGTTCTGTCTTTGGGTACTTGGGTTGCTTCCGTATGTTGGTATTGTATATAATGCTACAATAAAAATAGGAGTGTATGTATCTTTCCAAACTAGTGTTTTCATTTTCTTTGGGTAAATACCTAGTAGGGGAATTATTAGATCACATGGTACTTCTGTTTTTAATTTTTTGAAGAACCTCCATACTGTTTTCTGTACTGGCAGCACCAATTTACATTCCCACCAAGGTGTACCAGTGTTCCCTTTGCTCCACCTCCTCACCAGCTCTTACTGTTTCTTGTCTTTTTGTTAGTAGCCATTCTGACTGGTGTGAAGTGATATCTCACTTCACAAAGTGGTTTTGATTGCATTTCCCTGATGTGAATGATGTTGAGCATCTTTTCATGTGTCTGTTAGCCATTTGATCTCTTCTTTGGGAAACTGTCTATTCAGGTCTTCTGCCCACTGTTCAGTTGGGTGCTTTTATTTTGGCGTTCTTTGTGTATTTTGGATAGTAACTCCTTATCAGATTTATTTGCAGATCTCTCCTCTCGTTCAGTAGTTTGGTTGTCTTTTGTTGATTGTTTCCTTTGCTTTGCAGAAGCTTTTTAGTTTGATGTAGTCCTAATAGTTTATTTTTGCTTTTGTTTCCCTTGCCTAAGAGATCCATAAGTATGCTGCTAAGGCTAATGTCCAAGAGATTATTGCCTGTTTTCTTTTAGGAGTTTTAAGGTTTCAAGTCTCACATTTAGGTCTTTAATCCATTTTGAGTTTATTTTTGTGGCTAGTTTACGAAAGTGGTCCAATTTCATTCTTTTGCACGTAGTTGCCCAATTTTCCCAACACCATTTGTTGAAAAGACTGTTTTTTTCCCACTGTATATTCTTGCCTCCTTTGTTGTAGATTAATTGGCCATATAAATGTAGGTTTATTTCTGGGCTCTTTATCCTGTTCCATTGATCTATGTGTCTGTTTTTGTGCCAGTATCACCATTTTGGTTACAGCTTTGTGTAGTATATCTTGAAATCTAGAATTGTGATACCTCCAGCTTTGTTCTTCTTTCTCAAGATTGCTGTGGCTGTTTGGGGGTCTTTAGTGGTTCCATACACAAATTTTAGTATTGTTTGTTCTAGTTATGTGAAAAATGCTATTGGTATTTTGATGGGGATTGCATTGAATCTGTAGATTGCTTTCAGTAGTATGGACATTTTAATGATACTAATTCTTCCAGTACATGAGTGTGGTGTCTCTTTCCATTTATTTGTGTTGTCATCAGTTTTTTTTCATCAGTTTGTCCTACAGTTCTCAGAGTATATGGTCTTTTACCCTTTTGGTTAAATTTATTTCTGGATATTTTACTGTTTTCGGTGCTGGTGTTGTAAATGGGATGGTTTTCTGAATTTCTTTTTCTGCTACTTGGTTATCAGTGTATGTAAATGCAACAGGTTTCTGTGTATTTTATGTCCTGCAATTTTACTAAATTCATTAATTCGTTATAATTTTTTTTTTTTTTACTTAGAGAGCGTGAGCTAGGGAGAAGGACACAGAGAGGGAGGGAGGAGGGTAGAGAAAGTGAGAAAGAGGGAGAATATTCCAAGCAGGCTCCACGCTCAGTGCGGAGCCCACAGCTGGGCTTAATCCCTTGACCCTGGGATCATGACCTGAGCTGAAATCAAGAGCTGGATGCTCAACCGACTGAGCCACCCAGGCACCCCAGTGAATTAATCTATTCTAACAGTTTTTGGTGGAGTCTTTAGTTTTTGTGTATAGTGTCATGTCAGCTGCAAATAGTGATAGTTTTACTTTTTCCTTACCAGTAGGGATGCCTTGTATTTCTTACCTGGTTGCTGTCGCTAGTACTTCTAGTAATGTGTTGAATAAAAGTGGTAAGAGGGGAGGGACATCCTTGTCTTGATCCTGATCTTAGAGGAAATCTCTTGGGTTTTCACTGGCCACTGGCTTCTTTGTTTCAGGTTACACTCCTGGCACACCTTACAAAGTGTCCTGTTCCCCCACCAGCGGGGCAGTGCCACCATACTCCTCCTCCCCCAACCCCTACCAGACTGCTGTGTACCCTGTGCGAAGTGCCTACCCCCAGCAGAGCCCCTATGCACAGGTAGGCCTGGGTGTGCTATGGGTCCCTTAATTAAGTGCTCTTGGGCATTGTGTGTGTGGGAAGGGTTGGTTCTCTCTGGACTCTGACCCATGAGGTGTGGAGCCCTGTGGTATTTGTCTCTCTTCCTCCCTGCAGCAGGGCACGTACTACACACAGCCCCTGTATGCAGCACCCCCTCATGTCATCCACCACACCACGGTGGTGCAGCCCAACGGCATGCCAGCAACAGTGTACCCTGCTCCCATCCCTCCACCTAGAGGCAATGGCGTCACCATGGGCATGGTGGCTGGGACCACTATGGCCATGTCAGCAGGTGAGTCCTTGACCCTGGGTTGCCTGTTTTATGAAAGCCAGGAGACGGGAGAGCTCACTAATTCTCTGACCCTTGGTTTGATTTTTCAATGGCTTGAGTTGTGTGGAAGGACATACTCTTTGGGAAAGGAACAGCATATGATCCTTCTTTCCCTTCCTTTCATTTCTTCCCCTTCTTCTTTTGGTTGAGAGGAGAGGTGTGACCAGCCAAGAAGCAAGTACCCTCCCCATGGGGCATGAATGGATAGTGATCAATGTATTAGGTGAGCTGAGCCCTTAGCAGTAGGGCTGAGGGGCATACCAGTGAACATACCAAGCTTGGGCAGAAGGTGATCACTTTGTATCTGGGTGGGCTGGCTTTCCTGATAACTCCCCTTTAGTGTAGGCTGCAGGGCAAGTTGTGTGAATGTTGGTGTTTGCATGAATCTAGGAAAGCTGGCTTTGTGTTCATGGACATAAAAGCCTCTTATAGAAAATCTTTGGCATTGGTCACCTTTATTTCCCAAGGCTTCCCTTTCCCTTGCTCTGGAAAATACATCACAGAGAGATGAGACTCCTGGCTAGGATGTGCATATCTCCCTGTGAGCCCCCAGTGGGCATGTGGGTTGTCTGTGGCACGCAGCCAAGTACGGAAGATGTCATTGCTTGCCCATGGCTGTGTGTGTGTGTTTTAATATTGTTCCCTCCCTCTCTCTTTTTTTTCCCCCTTTAACTCCAATATAGGAAGATTGTGCCAGAGAGAAAGGTGTGTTAGGATACCATGTGTGTTTCTGCTCAGAGTCTCCCTTGTATTTGGTTTTCCCATACTTTTCTGTGAAGGCACAGACAGAAACTGCATGTTTGAGGCACGTGAAGGGAGAGATGGCAGGCCCTGGGTTGGTTGTGGGCAGGAAGATGGGAAGTGAAGAAAAGCAGGGTGAGGCCGTTAGGTTGGAGGTTATGCTGATTTACAGATGGACTCAGAGTTGCTGAGTTTTCTGCAGATATAGAGAAAATACATTTATCTTCATGTACTTACAAGGTCATGTAGTTTAGAATCTCCCTCCTTCCCTCTCTTTAATTTTTACTCTCTTAACCATTTTTAACTGTATTAGTTGAGTAGTGTTAAGTATTTTCACATTGTTGTAAAACAGATCTCTTTCACCTTGCAAAACTGAAGATCTGTGCTCATTAAATAACAGCTCTCTTTTTCCCCTGCCCCACCCTCCCACTCCCCAGCCCCTGGCCACCACCATTCTACTTTCTATCAGTTTGACTACTTGAGATACCTTATGTAAGTGGAATCCTATTGGGTGTGTCTTTCTGTGACTGGCTTATTTCACTTAGCATGACATCCTGTATATTCATCCATGGGTAGCATGGACAAATTTCCTTCCTTTTTAAAAATTTTTTCATTGTAAAAGCTTATTTATTTGGGGAGGGGTGTTTGGAGGGACAGAGAGGGGGAGAGAGAGAATCTCAAGCAGGCTCTGCACTGTTCCTGAGGAACCCAATGCAGGGCTCAAACTCATGAACTGGGAGATCCTGAGCTGAAGTCCAGTGCTTAACTGACTAACCTACCCAGGCACCTGAATATCTTTCTTTTTAAGGGTAAATAATGATTAATTTGTTGATTATCATCTGATCTGCAAAAATCATTGAGTATGCTTATATGAAGGGAAGGCACAGAGCCTTCTACAGACATTATCATATGAGCTTGCTGTGTTTATACAACTTTGAGTTGTGTATGATCTGAATTCTGACAGCAGTCTAGGTCATGACCACCCCTCTTCCTGTTAAAGCAGGACAGGCCAGAGCTCTCTTTTCAGGCAGCATGGAGCTGCGTGGTGACATAGGCTAGCCTCATGTGGGTAGTGCTGCCTGCCATTGAGACAGCTGCTCTTTCTTCCAGGTACCCTGCTGACCGCCCACTCCCCAACTCCTGTTGCCCCCCACCCAGTCACTGTGCCCACGTATCGGGCCCCAGGAACGCCCACCTACAGCTACGTGCCCCCTCAGTGGTGATCACCCTGCAAATGTAAGTGACTGGTGAAACCTGGGTTGACTTTTTTCCCAGTACAGAATGACAAATCTACTATATTTTAAGCACTAACGAGAAAAATGCTTAAATGCCCCTCTTAATCCAAGGGCAGTGTGGCATTTAAAGATTTGTTCTTATTTGGACTCTTAGAAAGTAGAAGGCAGGAAACCATTGAGTACTTGCTGTGTACACTATATACTTTGTTCCTTTCCTAGTCTGTGCTCTAATCTCCTACTGCCTCCTACAGGAACTAGGATTCTGGTTGTAACCAGGAGTCACTCTAAGGTGTGCGGCAACCAGGAGCAGTGGCCTTTCCCACTGCTGCCCTTTCTGGTCCTAGTGGGTTTTGTCCTCCTTGACTTAAATGAAATTCCTTTTTGGAGCAGCGGTGCCAGGGGTGCTCCGTGTGACCATGTTTGTCTTTCTCCCCCTGCCAGGTTTGAGGATGGAGCTGTGCAGTCACATCTTGGAGGTTCCACAGCTGGTGCTGCAGGCCTCGCGCCTCCAACCTGGACTTTCTTCTTAATGCTCTCGACACTTAGCTAACACTACTCTGGCCCGGCCCAGCAGGTCCCAGCGCCATTAGTTTCCAACTGACTCTGTGGGTTGGTCTTAAAGCAATTCCTGTTTTGTGGGCTGCCTGGCAATTTTTTAGCTAACTGTAATGATAAAAAGGGAGTATTAATCTATTCTGAATCATATCTAGTTGAATGCATGTTTAAAAAAAACAAACAAAAAACAAAGCTTGCTCAATCTACCTGCAGTGACTGATGCAAAACCATCATATGCAAAACCCAAAGGAATGGAAAAGCATTTTACAACTTGTATCACTAATGCACTGTTGTAATGTATGCAGAGTCTTCAAGTTATAAGTGTTAAAGTGAATTTCTTCATAGAGTATCTGAAATCCCTTGGATGATTCTTCAGCCTTTGGGGTTGATGTGGGTTGCCAGTTGGTAACGTGGACTTTGAGTTTTCAGCCATCTGTTTCTTTCACACTGACTGCACGGGAAGAGAGTCGCAGGGACAGGAAAAGTGCAGGGTGGGCCACCACTGCCTGGGGCACAGCCAGCTTTCTGGACGTCCCTTTCCTTGCCGTTTAGGCTTGCCTAAACATTGTGGTGTGGACATTCTTAGAGATGATCATGAAAGTATAGAGTTGTATGGCCAGTACAGTTAGGGGCAAGAGGTTGTCTATGTATCAGCAAAGCAGTTTTCTCTGCCATCTCAATTTTCATTACAAGTCTCCTACACGTAGAGATGAGGTTTTCTGTGTCTTTATTGGGAAAGTCTTATGTAGAATTAAATTATTTTCCTGGGATGGAAGATGTGTGAAGGAGAAACAGTCACACTTGGAGGAGGTATTGGTTTCTCCTTTGTTTAGCTTAGAAAACCATTCGTCCCTCCCGCCCCCAGAAGTTTCAGTACGGAAAACATATGTGGGCATTGCTGTCCTCTACCACTCCCCCACCAACGAAGGGCAAAGATTTCAGCTGTCTGTTACGAAGAAAGTTAAATATTTAAAAGAACTATTAAAAGGGAACAAAACTCGATTTGAAATTGTTTCTTGTAGAGAGGCAGGGCTGTGGCTGTGTTTCAGCCCATCCACCTGAAGGGGCCTTGTCATCTAACACCATCTGGAGGAGACTTCTGGAGATGGGTCTGGGGAGGTGTGAGGGAGGGGCTGGTGCCTCTGGTCTGTGAGCCTTGTCTGCCATCTGTAGCTGAGGGCTCTCAGCACAAAGCAGGTATGGACAGCAAGGGCCCAGGCAGCATCAGAATGCATTTGCCTGCCAGGATTTATTTAGAAAGGAATTTGTGTTTAAAGTCAGAATATTGTATATAAGAAATGAAGGGGATTTTTTTTTTTTTTTTTTTTTTTTTGGCTTAAATGTGCCCAGCTTGTATCAGTGGGAGTGTGTCTGTTCACAGAGGGGGTGGGAGGGTGAGGGTTTTGTTCCCTTTCAGCAGTCTGTCAGGGGGTGGATGTGCTCCTATTCACCCCATCATTTCAAGTGTATGGGCTTTGGTTGGGGAGGGGACCCTGCTCTTACGTCTCTGGCAGCTAGGTCAGGGCTCTGGCACTGGTTTGGCTTTTGGCCCTAATTCCTGAGTGGGACACCTGACCCCTGAGCCTTTGGTAACCTTATTTTTTATAGTAAGTACCCCATAATTTTCTTTTTTCACGTTTTATTTTATAAGAAGTTTAGGAATATTTTTGCATGGATCATTGTAAACAGAAGGTTCCTTATTCCTAATGTCTGTTAACATAGTGTGCTTACTGATAAGTACCTTAAATTGCTTCATTAGCACTTAACCCACGTGTGTCTCTGTGTGTGTGTGTGTGTGTGTGTGTGTGTGTGTGTGTGGAGAGAGAGAGAGTGTGTGTGTATGTGTGTGTGTGGGTGTGTGTGTGTGTGTACCATGTACCCCAGGCACACAGTTTGTGTCTACTTTAGCTCTGTGCTGGTTATTCCATCTGTACGGTGGATGGTTTATAATATCCATGAGGTTCCAAGGGTTCCAGGGCTGAACTGATCAAGTAACAGAAAAGTCCAATTTTCCCAGTTTAGTGTAATAGATTAGGAGAAAATATGATCTTAGTGTATGCTTTAAAAAAGCCCTAAACATCAAAATGGGAAAACACACATACACACACACACACACACACACACACATATCCTATGTGTAAGGGTGGAGTCACTCAAATGTAGAAGTTATATCGGATGCTTCATTGGGCTTGCTTGAGACATGGTGCACACAGGGTGAGTGTTTTCACAAGCACTGAATTAAATAGTGTTTTCAAGAGCAAGAAGGTTGGGTTGCATTTTGCCCCCATTTACATCAGCTCATAAACACTTTACCCCCTATAATTTTTTAAAATCTTTTTTCCCTTTTGTGAAGGTGAGTTGGGAGACTTTATCAAATACCTTTGCATAATGGAATACATCTGTGTGGAAATCTTTTCACATCAGGGCATCAGCTACCAAATATAATGAAAGGTAGATCTTATCTAGTAGGTAAGAATCTGGACATATGAATAGTAGCAAAACTATCATAGATTGTAATTTTAACAGCAGTTCCAGTAAAAATAATTAAGGAATAGAACTTGTTATAAAATTGCATAATTTGATATCCCAAGCATAATTGTGGAACAGAGAAACGGCCTTTTTTTTGTATGTGACATTCCTAATTTGATACTCTTTCAGCTGAATTATGGTTCTTTTGGAAGTGGAGACAGGTAGGCCAGGACCTAATTCCTCTAAACATGAACATCATCATCAAGGATAATTAAAAAAAATCTTCTACAGCCTCTCTGCCAAGGTTCAGGAGGCCTGTTTCTCTGCTTATGGAAGTTTTGTTTGGATCTGGGCCTGGTGACTTGAGTGTTTAGTGATGAGCAATGTTCCCATCAACCCGCTGCCTCTGAGAAGTGAGGCCAACATCAGGACCAGGGCCATTCGTGGGAGGCATGAAGGCAAGGCTCTTCCAGAACCTTTTATGTCTTCTGTGTTAAATCTTGTCAGAACATTCTTGTTGGTATGGTTAATGAGGCCTACCAGTTGCTGTTCTGTGAATCTGTTTCTTGAGTGCTATGCAAATGTATTTATAGGACATGAGAGAGGTCTTGAGACTTGGGCTGGGTACTTGTTGGTGAGCATCCTGCCCTTCCCACTCTCGGCGTACAGTGCCTTGCTCCATCTGGTGGCACCATCGCTTCTGTAATAAGAGGAAATATATTCTTACGGCATTTTGGATATGCTGATATCTGGCATGTGAGTTTCTGTGAGTGTGCCTGCCAGTTGGTGGTGAAAGGGTGGCACACACCAACCACATCAATATTGAGGCCTACTTCAAAAGGAAATCCACCCTTCTTCACCTGTTCCTGTACACATTTGGAAACAGTATTACTCTGACTGGTTGGGCCACCTTCTCCCCACCTGGCAGCTAATGGCTGGATACCCTAGTCGTCGCCAACCTGGGTGTTGCCCAGTCAGGACAGGATGCCTGTCTGACCCCTCAGCAGGCTCACAGGCAGTTTTAAGGGCAAGTGCTTGGAGGGTGAGGGGCAGCTTCTAGTTCTTTCTGGTGCTTTTTAAGGGTGGGGGGGGGGTTCTCTAGAGAGGAGTGTGGTTGGCTCAGGGGAAGGGCAGACTTCTTAGCTGTTTCTAGCATATCTCAAATATTTGTGTTTTTCCCCTGAGCTGTTTATTATTCAGCCTGAGCTCTCTGAAGGTGCGTCAGACTATTTTGAACAGACTTGCAGATGACGCGCTGCAGAGGAGGGTCTGATCATTTTGGGTAGAAAGTTGCAAAGTTGATCTTACGTGTTTTAGAGGATTTGTCCCCCCCCCCCCCCACATTCATTTGAAGAACAGAAAACCCTAGGGGTAACCTTAAAGTTTACTCACTTGGGACAGGGAGACAGAGGAGAGGCAGGCATCTGTTCAGGGAACCTGCAGTGGGCTTCAGGAAATGTGTGCTCCCAGGGCTGTTGTGTTGGAGATGACAGGTGTCTCGTTTGGGCCTCCTGAGCCCTGTCAGTCTCCCATGGGTCCTTGTGTAGACTAGTCGTCAGTAAAATAGATGGGCTCTGCTGTGCTCCTGGCAGGGTTTAACGTGATGGCTGCTCTGAGGAGAGGTCCCAAGGAACCACGTGGGTTATGACTGACTAGGAAATGGTTCCTTTTTTTGTTTGTTTGTTTAATGATTTTTAAATACTTTTTTTAGACCGTTTTCTTGGTACTTTTTTTAAGCTTATGTCGGCATTGTCTTCCATTGTTAAAGGCATCCCTCACCTCTGCATTGAACTTACGGTGTCAATCAATACAAAGGAATGGAACATCCATCCTGAGCCAGTTCTATTAAGTGTAAATTCATACTATTTTAATTTTTTATGCAATCTGATGAGTAGAGCTCAGATTTAAAATTCTTAAAAGCACGTTTATTGTAACAAGACTTGTTATGTATTAATACTGCAGTTTTCAATAAAGATTGACTTGTGTTGCATAGTGTGATTTTTATGGTTTTTTTTTTTTTTTTCCTGTAGGGTTTATTTTGAGGTGGCATGGCCTGGCTGGAAGGTGGTGTAGCTTCTTTCTAGTTAGGACATGCAGGGTTTGGGGGCAGAAGGCCTTGTGCTGGGCCGTGGTGACCTTGTGTGGCGTTGTGACAGCACGGTGTGTAAGGGTGTGTGGAGGCAACAGTTTGGGAAGACTGCTTCCTCAGGGGAAAGGGGAGGAAAGCTGACCCTGTTCCTTTTCTCTTGGTCTTGTGTCCTGGTCCCCATCCTGGAGGACACATTCTTCTCTATTTCATTGAAGAGGATGCTAAAACCCAGAAAGATTGCAGACTGCCAATCCCCCAAATTCACATTTGCTAACTTCAGCTAAACATGGACTCTGGGAGCAGTCAGGGAGCCAACAGGCTTCCAGCCCCCTGTGGTTGGAGGAGCTGAGCCAGCTGTATCCCATACCAGGACAGCTCCCAGACCACATGCTGTCCTCGCAGCTCCTTCTGAGCTTCTGAAGCATTTCTCCCGCCACCTTCGCTTCTTTCCACCAAAGCTCTGAGGGTATGGTTTGCAAGTAAGGGAGCTCCCACCACACTGGGCGATGCTGGGCTCATCCTTTCTGTTTAAGGAGAGGCCCAGGGCAGAGAAAGGTAACTGTCATAGGAAGGATGGAGCATGCAAAGGAGAAAATGCATAGACACAAATGGAAAAACCAGGGCCGACAGGTTATTTTTTCATGTTTCTTTATGAAATTAAATGTGGCTTCTGGCTTGGAGAAGGTATAGTGCAAGAGTGACTGACTGTACATGCTGCTGAATTCCCTTAGGCCAGAGGGGCAGCTCAGTGTTCCTGCACCCACAAGCCAGGTTCTGGCTGTACTTGTGACCCTTCTCGGCAGGACATGGGCTTCCCTCTTAACTCACATGCTCACTGGACTCTGGGTTAGTGGGTCAGTCCTGGATGCTGGGCTACAGAATTCAGTCCTTATGGCTTCTCACACTCACTTAGGGTAAGGCAATCTTTCTGTGTCACTAATAACAATTATTTTTCCCCAATGTTAGAAAAACAGAACAATCCAGACAAACTGGGAGCAGGTTCTGGAGTCAACCCACAACTACACGTGGACTGGTCACAAACCCTGACAGAAGTATGCAGTGACTATGGTTTTGTTTTCTTTCCACTATAAACACATCACAAGTGAAGAGGGTGTCCAGCAGCCAGGAGTGTCTAGAGAGGGACTGGGAGGCAAAAGAGGTGGGCTCTGGGCCCAACATTTTTGTGCACAGAATTCCGGTTCCCACCATCCAGGGATGCAAGTTGCCTGGCACCACCAGCTGGGGACCAGGGGCCTGAAGGAGGACAGAGGGGCACACAGCCCAACTTTGCAGGGGCTGAAGGCAGTCTGCCCAGAGACAGCAGGAGGAGGGATAATAAGATGTCCAGAGAAGAGGGTCCAGAGTGGCCAGTCCTCTCACGCGTGTTGACCTGGCCGGTGGCTCTGAGCTGTGGCTCCCAGGAGGCCCCATAGAGGTCCAGA